GGATGGAGCTCCACCATGCCCGCTCTGGACTGCTCAGAGTACCCGTAACGCTGCGCCATGTCGCGCGAGCCCTGAAATTCTTCCTCTGCACCTGGGGCTGGCAAGGCTTGTCCCTGGGACAGCGGCGGCGCGGCCAGGGCATGTTCGAGCATGCGGGCGGCACAGGCCATGGGGGCGGCACTGGCCGCAGGTTCGGACGGGCTCCAAATCGGAACCGCGATTGGTATGCCAGTTTTGCTTGGGCAACTGACTGCGGTCCGACAGCGACAACGGCGGCACAGCATAATTACAGCACGGCATGACGATGTGCCTTTCGATTTGCATCTGGATCTGCATATCGATGTGCATTTCGATTTGCTTTGCGATTTGCATGTCGGCGTGCATTGGAAAGCTCGCCGCGGCGCTCACGGCGCCTTAAAATTTGCACTTGGATGTGCAAATCGATTTGCATTTCGATGTGCTTTTCGGTCTGCATGTCGGTTTGCATGCTGACTTGCATTGGATGGTTCGCCGCAAGCGACGATGTTTTGAAATGCACAACCCACGGCGGGACACCGGCGGGACACCAGCGGGACACCGCGGGCCACCGTTTGACGGGAGGAGCATAATTTGGTCCAGCCGCGGCCCAGCCACAGGAGGATTTCCGGACACCAGCGGGACACCGGCGGGACACCGCGCGCCACCGTTTGATGGGAGGAGCATCATTTGGTCCGGCCGCGGCCCAGCCACAGGAAGATTTCCGGACACCAGCGGGACACCGGCCGGACACCGCGGGCCACCGGCCGCCAGAGGAGAAACATTTTGGTCCGGCCGCGGCCCAGCCACAGGAGGATTTCCTCTCGCACGCCCACGCAGCTTCGCTCGCCCGCACGCACACACGGCACGCACGACACGAACCCGAAACCGAAATCGATTTCCCGGTAGGGGGGGTCTCCGTTTCACGTCGGACTCACCCCCCAACCTCCGATACTAGAACCATCGCGCGCGCTTCGCGCGCGCTCAAGTTCTAACTAGGCTTGATAGGCTAACTCAAGTAATATCATGTTGGTCGCTTCTTGCGTCCAAGGGCTCCCTTGGAGGCCCTGCGCAAGCCTCGGAATCACATACAAGGGGAAGTGCGGAAACGCAGAAATCATTAATTCCCCTTAGGTATTCAACGACTTTGGGCCCTCAAAAGCTTCCTGTGTTCTTTTTTAGGAGGTGAGGGGGGTCTGAATTGTGGTCTGTTGTGCAAAAATAGACCGGGGGCCAATCTTGAAAAAAAAAGGAATTGAGGGATTTCCACGTCTGTCCAGTTCCTCGGAGCTGTTCGGCGCTGTTTTTTGTTTGCGCCTCGCGGGTTTTGTTAGCTGGGCCCCTCAATGGCGTGGGATCTTCCTGACCCCCTGGGGTTTCTGGAGGCCTCCTGGAGGCCTGGAGAGCCGTTGGAATGGTGCCTCGGGCTGCGCGGGAGCGTGTTGGGCAGTTCTTTACGTTCTGGGGGTTCCTTGGGGTCGTCTTGGGCTGTACTTGGGCGTGTTGGGGGCCCCCCAAAAAGCTGGGAGGCGCGGTACCGGCCAGATGTCAGGGGATGTGTAGGACCCCCGAATAGGAGGGAAAAAAAGAATTCCCAGAGTTCCCTTTTTTCTTCCTTCATCCTCGGTATTCGAGGGATGGGAACGGGAAAACGTAAGAAGGCGAAAAACAATAGAAAAACCATTGGAAATCAACGATTTTACCCTCTTTGGGCTCTCTCGGGACGGCTCTCGCAGCTCTCTTGGGCTGTTCTTGGGGCCTCGTCGGGGTCTTTTTGGGGCCTCTCAGGGATGGGGGTGTTGGGGGCCTCTAAATGGTCCGGGAGGCCTCTCGGAGGTCTCTGGAAGCCTCCTGCTCCCGCTCTTGGGCCCATCTTGGGCCTGTTCTGGGGTGGTCTGGGGCTGTCCTGGGCGCCTCTTCGGCAGTCTTGGAGCCTTCTTGGTCCGTCTTGGGGCCGTCCTGAGGGTCTCTTGGGTGGTCTTGGGGCGGTCTTGGGAGACTCTTCGGCGCTCTTGGACCGTTGGAAGCTCGAAAACGCGAGAAACCAAAAACATTCGAAAAAACAACCGAAAATCAAAGATCGCGGCCTCTTCGGGCCGTCCCGGGACGCCTCTCGGACCTTTCTTGGGGTCTCTTCGAAGCCACCTGGGAGCCTCGAGAGCCGTCGGAAGACTGACTTGGGCTGCTTGGAAGCGTCTTGGGCCATCCTTTCGCTTTCTGGGGGCTCCTGGGAGGCATCTTGGGCACTCCTGGAGCGCTGTGGAAGCTCCCCGGAAAAGCCGGGGGAGCGGTACCGGGAGCGTTCCCGAGATGTGGTGGGGAGGTGTGGGACACGGGGCCGGGGGGGCGATATTTGTTTATATTCTATTTTAGATTAAGCGTTAATGATGATAATAAGAATCATCATCATCATCATCATCATCATCATCATCATCATCATCATCATCATCATCATCATCATCATCATCATCAGCAGCAGCAGCAGCAGCATCATCATCAGCAGCAGCAGCAGCATCATCATCATCAGCAGCAGCATCATCATCAGAATAATGAGAATAATATTAAGAATAATAATAATAATTCTAATAATAATAATAATAATAAATAGTAGTAGTAATAATAATAATAGTAATACGATAAACATATGTATATACATACATATATATATATATATATATATATATATATATATGTCTCAAGGTGAGTGGACCGAACGGTCATTGATTGTCCCTTGGCGTGTGGCTGAAGTGGAGCCGCGGTGCGGATTGTTGTTGGTTCGTTGTTGTTGGTGCTGTTGTTGAGCTCTTATTCTAAAAAAGAACTATTGTTGATCCCCCCTCCGGTGACCATTGCGTTTTTCGATTAAAATGCTCCTCCCGGGGCTCGCACTCTGTTTATTGAAAGGAAATCATGGTGTCACCAAACTGCGCCCCTGGCCCCCGGTTTACAACAACAACAGCAAGAACAACGGTTCCCGACAGATGCTTCCTCACCAAGTATTCCCACATCGCGCTCTCGCGGAGGACTTCCTCACAGTGTATGCAGGAATCGCGCTCTCGTGTGGGAGTTCCTCGCAGTTTCTTCAAAAGCCGCGCCCTCGACACTCAGGAATCACACTCTCGCGCTGGATTCCCGAACGATTTTTTGGGGAATCGCGCTATCGCTCGAAACCTCCTCGCGATTCATGCAGGACTCACGCTTCAACAACCCGCCTGCTCGACCTCGCCGCCTGGGCCCGCCTTCCCGACACGCCCGTGAGGCCTACCCGCCAGATCTGCCCGCTTGGCTCTACCACGTACGGTCTGCTCCTAGCCCTCCTCCTGCTAATCTCTGTTGTGCTCTATCCTTCTCCCTCCCCCGTTCCAAACGTCCACGTTTTCCCCTGTCTTAGGGGCTGCACCAAATGCACGTGGCAGGTAAGGAAGATATACCCCCAAGGGGCACGATCGAATACAAAGAGGGCGTGTACCGAGGGTTTGGGACATACGTGTTGAATGGCACACGAGCAGATATGAGCGAACACTCTTAAAACGAGTGTTCGTGTTGGTGGTGGTGGTGTTGGTGTTGTTGATGTTGCTGTTGGTGGTGGTGGTAGTGTTTTGTTGTCAATCGCTTCTGAAAATAACATTGTTGACCCCCCCGTCCGGAGACAATTGCATACTGTAAAGTAGAATGCTCTTCCCTGGGCTCGCACCCTGCTTCGCAAAGGAAAGCGTGGTGTCACCAAACTGTGCCCGGGCCCCCGGTTTACAACGACAACGGCTCCCGCTGTATATTTCCGCGCAATGTATATCAAATGTGCGCTTTTGCGCGGGACTTCCTCCGAGTTGATGCAGGAATCGCGCTCTCGCCAGGTACGTTCTCACAATTGATTCAAGCGTCGCGCCTCCAACCTTTAGGAAACGTGCTCTCGCTCTAGCGTTTGCTCGCAATTCACTTGGGGATCGCGCTATCGCTCGAAACCTCCTCGCGATTCATGCGGGACGCACGCTTCAACAACACGCCTGCTCGACCTGGCCGCTTGGGCCCGCCTTCCCGACACGCCCGTGAGGTCTACCCGCCCGATCTGCTCGTTTGGCTCTACCACGTACGGTCTGCTCCTAGCTCCCCTCTTGCTAACCTCTCTCGTGCTTCATCCTTCTCCCTCCCCTTCCATCCGCCCTCTCGTCCCCTCTTTTAGGGACTGCGCCAACTGCACGCGGCAGATAGGGAAGATCTACCCCCCAAGGGGGGCACGATCAAAGACGAAGAGGGCGGGTATCGAGGCTTTGGGATGTACTACGTGTAAAAAGGCGCGCGAGCAGATACAGGCGAACAGTCTCAAAATGTGTATGGTTGTTGTTGTTAGTGTTGTTATTGGTGTTGTTATTGTTGTTGTTGCTGTTGTTGTTGGTGTTGTTATTGTGTTTGGTTGTTGTTGCTGCTGCTGTTGATGTTGCGTTGTTGTTCTCGTCGTCGCCCACGACACGCCCGCGACCCACCGCGCGACCCACCCCGCGACCCACCCGCGACTCACCCTCGATACACCCGAGACCCACCCCGCGCCAGCCCCCTCACTCTTATCCGCAACTGCGGGGCACTACGTATACCATAAGGGTCAATGTAGCTCTGCAAACACAATCAGCTCACCTGCACATCGAAAAACGATCCCCTCAGACCCGGCTCCCGACTGGGGAAGCTGGGTCGCGAGCGCCCCTGGTGTACCCGGAAACGGCTCCGAATGGCCCCACGGCGGCCCCATGCAGAGGGCCCATCTGGTGCTCCCCCAAAGGAACAACAGGCCGTCGTCGTCGCCGCCGTCGTCGTCGCCGTCGTCGTCGGTGTCGCCGTCGCCGTCGGCGTCGGCGTCGTCGGCGTCGTGGGCGTCGTCGTCGTCGTCGTCGTCGTCGGGCCGAATCGCCCCGAGGATGGCGGGCGCTCGGCCGGAACTTCCGCCCAGAGGTCCGGGCGTCTGCCCGGCAGGGCAGCCGTGGGCGTCCGCCCGCCTTGGCGGCCTCCCACTCGGCCAGCTCCTTCTGGATGCGGCGCGACGCGGACCCCGCCGCGGGCCGCTCCGTCTTCTCGCGCCGGATCATCCGGAGGACCTGCTCCTGGCACGGGGGGATAGGGGGAGGGGGCGAAGGAGAGAGAGAGAAGGACTCCTTCGGAAGGAGAGAGAGGGGGAGGGGCGAAAGAGAGAGAGAGAGAGAGAAGAGAGAGAATGAGTGAGAGGGCGAGAATTATCTACACATACGTAGCGCCCCGCAGTCGCAGATAAGAGTAAGGAGGTGGCGGGGACGTCGGCAGTCTACAAGGCTTGGAAGAAGCCTGCCGCAGGCGCCTAATTTTTACAAATCATACAACGAGCCCGCCGCAGGCGGCGATTTTTCGTTAAAGCAATGTGTGTGGGTCGCGGGGTGGATCGCGGGTGTGTCGCGGGTGGGTCGCGGGTGGGTCGCGGGTGGGTCGCGTGCCGGGTCGCGGGTGGGTCGCGTGCCGGGTCGCGGGTGGGTCGCAGGGAGGGTCGCGAATGGGTCGCGGGTGGATCGCGGGTGGGTCGCGGGCGGGTCGCGGGGTCGGTCGCGGGTGTTGCGGGTGGGGCGCGGGGTGGGTCGAGGGTGGGTCGCGGGTGGGTCGAGGGTGGGTCGCGGGTGGGTCGCGGGCAGGCTCGGGGGGACGACGACAACAAACAACAACAACAACAACAACAACAACAACAACAACAACAACAACAACAACACAAACAACAGCAACAGCAACAGCAACAGCAAAAGCAACAACAGCAACAACAGCAACAGCAACAGCAACAGCAACAGCAACAGCGACAACAACAAATAATAATAATAATGATAATAATAATAATAACAACAACAACAACAACGACAATCATTTCAAGACTGTTCGCTCCTATCTGCTCACATGCTAGTCAATACGTATATCCCAAACTCTCGGTCCCCACCCTCGTCGTCTTCGATCGTACCTCATTGGGGGTATATCTTCCTTACCTGCCACGTGTATTTAGTGCAGCCTCTAAAACAAGGGAAGAGAGGACGGGTGGAAGGGGGAGGGATGATAATGGAGCACGAAAGAAATTAGCAGGAGGGGGGCAACGAGCAGAAAACAAGTGGTAGAACCAGACGGGCAGATAGGGCGGGCAGACCCTTAGCGGGCAGGTCGGGAAGGCAGGCCCAGGCGACGAGGTCGAGCAGGCGGGTTGCATGAAGCGTTGGGCCTGCATGAATCGCCAGAAAGTCTCGAGCGATATCGCGATTCCTAAATATATCGTGGGAAAAGCCAGCGTGGGCCACGAAGGGCATAAAATCCGAGGCCACAAAGGGCAGCGACGGGGCCGCTGAGGGCAGCACCGGGGCCACGAAGGGCAGCGAGGGGGTCACAAAGGGCGACAGCGGGGCCACGAGGGGCATGCATATGGGGCAACGACGGGCGCGAGCGAACGGGGGGCACGAGGGGCATTCGTATACGGGGCCACATAGGGCGACAGCGGGGCCACTGAGGGCAGCAAAGGAACAGGAAGGGCAGCGAGGGGGCCACGAAGGGCGACAGCGGGGCTACGAAGGACATGCGTATGGGGCCACGACGGGCGCGTGCGAGCGAGGGCCACGAAGGGCATATAATGTGGGGCCACCAAGGGCAGCAACGGAGCCACTGAGGGCAGCAACGGGGCCACGAAGGGCAGCGAGCGAAGGCGACCGCGGAACAAGTACGGGCAGCGAGGGTCATCGAAGGCGGGCGAAGGGCAGCGATCGGCGACTGCAGTCATCAACGGGCTGGTCGGGCGGGCAGGCCCCGACGGGCGGGTCGAGCGGGCGGATCGTTGAAGCGTGAGTCCTGCTTGAACCGCCAGGCCATATGTAGCGGGAGCGCGATTCCTGAGTGTCGAGGACAGGCATCTGAATAAATTCTGAGGAAATAGCAGGCGAAGCGTTTCGGTTGTAAGTTGCGAGGAAATCCCAAGCGAGAACACGATTCTGCAATACATTGTCAAGAAATATCGAGCGGGAGCCGCGATTCGGTGGTAAATGCCAGGAAGTCCCAAGCGAGAGCGCGATTCTTCAATAAGTTGTGAGCAAATATTAGGCGGGAGCCGTTGTTGTTGTCGTTGTAGACAGGGGGCCAACGACACAGTTTGAGCCTCAAGACTTTCCCTGATTAAAAAAAAGGTGCGAGCCCTGGGAGGGGCACTTCAATCGAAAAAAAACAATGTGCACCCGGCGGGGGGGATCAACAATAATTATTCTTCCGAAGTGAGGGTTCAATAACAACAACAAATCCGCACCGCAGAAGCTCACTTCAGCCACGCGCCCAAGGACAGTGAATGACCGTTCGGCCCCCTCACTCTGACGACGTTCCCGCCGCAGGCGCCGATTTTTCGTTAAAGCAATGCGTGTGGGTCGCGGGGTGGGTCGCGGGTGTGTCGCGGGTGGGTCGCGGGTGGGTCGCGAGTGGGTCGCGGGCCGGGTCGCTGGTGGGTCGCGGGTGGGTCGCGGTTGGGTCGCTGGTGCCTCGCGGGTTGGTCGCGGGTGGGTCGCGGGTGGATCTCGGGTGGGTCGCGGGTGGGTCGCGGGTAAGTCGCCAATGGGCCGTGGGTGGGTCGCGGGCCGGCTCGCGGGGGGGACGGCGACAACAAACAACAATCGCAACAACAACAACAACCACCACCACCACCACCACCAACAACAACAACACCAACACCAACACCAACACCAACACCACACCACCACCACCAATAGCACAACAACGACAACAACAACAGCAGCGAAAGCAAAAACAACAACACACAACAACAATCAACAACAACAGCAACAACAACAGCAACAACAACAGCATCATCAACAACAACCACAGCAGCAACAATAACAAACACAACAACAACCACAGCAGCAGCAACAACAACAATCATGCTAAGACTGTTCGCTCCTATCTGCTCACGTGCCAATCAAGAAGTATAACCCAAACCCTCGGTAGCCGCCCTCGTCGTCTTCGAGCGTACACCCTTTGGGGCATATCTTCCTTACCTGCTACGTGCATGTAGTGCAGCCCTGAAAACAAGGGAATAGAGGACGGGTGGAAGGGGGAGGGAGAAGGATGGAGCACGAGAGAAATTAGCAGAAAAGGGGCAAGGAGCAGAAACAAAATAGTAGAACAAGACGGGCAGATCGGGTGGGCGGACCCAGACGGGTTGCTAAAGCGTGGGTCCTGCATGAATTGCGAGGACGTCTCGAGCGATAGCGCGATTCTCAAGTAAATCGCGAGAAGAGCCAAAGCGAGAGCGTGTTTCCTGAGCACCGAAGGCGCATCGTCTGAATAAATTGTGGAAGCCCCACGCGAGAGCGCGATGCGTATATGACGAAATCCCGCGCGAGAGCGCGATTTGGAAATAAATTGTGAGGAAGTACCGGGCGGGAGCCGTTGTTGTTGTAACTCGGGGGCCAGGGGCCAGTTTGAGCCTAGTGACTTTCCCTAATTAATAACAATGTGCGAGCCCCAGGGGAAGCACTTCAGTTGAAAAAACAATGGTCACTGGAGGGGAGGGATCAACAATAATTATTCGGCAGTAGTGAGACTTCAATAACAACCCGCACCGCAAAGCTCATTTCAGCAACGCGTCCAGGGACAGTGAATGACCGTTCGGCCCCCTCACTCTGACAACGTTCCCGCCGCAGGCGCCGATGTTTTCGTGCAAGCAATGCGTGTGGGTCGCGGGGTGAGTCGCGGGTGAGTCGCGGGTGGGTCGCTGGTGGGTCGCGGGTGGGTCGCGGGCCGGGTCGCGGGTGGGCAGCGGCACCACCACCACCACCACCACAACCACCACCACCACCACGGGGGGGCGACGACAACACAAAACAACAACAACAACAACAACCACCACCACCACCACCACCACGACCACCACCACCACTACCACCACGACAACAACAGCAACAACAACGCCACCACCAACAACAACAGCAGCAGCAGCGACAACAATCACAGCAGCAGCAACACTAACACCAACAACAGCACCAACAACAACAACAACAAGAATCCGCACCGCAGAAGCTCACTTCAGCCACGCGCCCAGGAACAGTGAATGACCGGTCGGCCCCCTCACTGTGAGATCTCTCTATATATATATAGAGAGAGACAGAGAGAAGAGAGAGAGAGAGAGAGAAAGAGAGAAAGAGAGAAGATAGAAAGAGAGAGAGAGAGATAAAGAGAGAGAGGGAGAGAAAAAAGAGAGAGAGAGAGAGAGAAAGACATACCGATGCGGACCAGGCGTCGGAAGGCCGAGCGGGCAAGCGGCTCGCGCCGTTCCGGTATATATATATATATTATATATATTATATATATATATAAGAAAAAATATTTTTTTAAAAAAAGAGAGAAGAAAACAAATATATTATCCCAGAGCGACCCTACCTAGGAGTTGGAGCCCCGAGGAGAGCAAGATTAGTAGTAACGGTAAACGCCGTCCTCCTCCTTCTCCTCATCGTCGCAGTTGTAGCAGCGGTAGTAGTAGTAGTAGTAGTAGTAGTAGTAGTAGTAGTAGTAGTAGTAGTAGTAGTAGTAGTAGTAGCAGTAGTAGTAGTAGTAGTAGTAGTAGTAGGAGTAGTAGTAGTAGTAGTAGTAGTCGTAGTAGTAGTGGTAGTAGTAGTAGTAGTAGTAGCAGTAGTAGTAGTAGTAGTAGTCGTAGTAGTAGTAGTAGTAGGAGTAGTAGTAGTAGTCGTCATAGTACAGCTTGATACCTACATCTACATCTAGACCTACATCCACATCTACACCTACAGCTACATCTACATGTACACATGCATATACATCTACATATACATGTACATCTACAACTACCTTCACATCTACATCTACATCTACATATACAACTACACTCACATCTACGTCTATGTTGCGCTATGCTGCGCTATGCTGCGCTATGCTGCGCTCTGGTATGCTATGCTATGCTAGGGTATGTTAGGCTGCGCTATGTTATGCTAGGCTATGCTATGCTATGCTATGCTGCGCTATGCTATGCTATGCTATGCTATGATATGCTGCGTTATGCTATGCTATGCTAGGTTATGCTCTGATATGCTATGCTGCGCTATACTATGCTATG